AAACTGAACATGACATGATATGTGTGCTTACATTCCATATGTGAGTAAATGTGTATTTATTTCCACATATGTATATGCTTATATGTTTCTTCATTCACTGAGTTTAATCAAAGCTGCAGAGTTCATACAGCATAAAGAACATCAGGTAAGATCATGAAAGTATAATGTTATATATGTTCACAAGTTTATTTATTTCATTCTTAAGGAGCCATACAGTCATGAGTTGTTATGAATCATAACTTATATGATGTGACTAAAAGTGCACAAGTCATACGGCATAATGAATAGCAAGTAAGACGATGAACATATACTGTTATGTACTCTTACATATTTATTGATTTCATGCATACAACACAATGAACAGCAGGTAAGACTATGATAGTATCATAATGTGTAATTTAAGGTTCATGTAAAGGAGTTATCATCACGCGCAGGTTGAAGATCGTGGTTGCTACTTGAAGACTTGAGGAGTACTATCAAAGCAGGCAAAGTTGCTTTAATTGGTCATAGTTAGATTGAGAGATGTTAGAATTAAGAATTATGGCATGTATTAAGATTTATTGGCATGTTATAATTCTTTTATGTTAGAGCTTATGTGATTGTAAATTATAAGTGAAACATGTAATTATTTTGGTGTAAGTAGTTGGAGATAAGAAATAAATATTTATGACATGATTGAAGATGAAATAGTTTACTATAGTTGGTATGATTAGGTCATGAAAACTTGATATAGATTCTGAATGAAAATTTAATTACTAGAGATTAAATTTGCTTTGAGGATTTATATAATTATGTAAAATATATAGAAAGGGTTATTGTGTTATTGATGCTTCTTTGGGAGATGTTGGAAGTTTTGAAGTTTATGGAGTGTTTTGTTAATCTAATTAGTATACAGGATGATATCAGCATGACAAGACAAAAGCTTCAACCAGATTGTTACGTCTCGGCTCGGTTCATTTCGGCATGTTAACGGGTGGACCGGAAGGGTGTTAACATATTGGAACTAAATGGGTATTACAATGAATTTAAATTTCTGATGGCTCCTATCAATAAGCACAAAAGCATGATATGTTGTTAAAGGCTACGCTCAACAGCAAGGTTGATTTTACAGAAACCTTTGCATCAGTTGCAAGATTTGACACTATCAAATTGATTTTGTCACTTACAGCAAGTGGGAAGGTTGGCAAGTTTCTTTCAATTGGATGTGAAATCAGCTTTCTTTAAATGGTTCTTTGAAGGAAGAAGTGTATATTGAGCAGCCTGAAGGTTTTAATGATGGAACAAATAGAGTGTGTTTGTTGAAGAAGCACTCTATGGTTTAAAACAGGCCCCCAAGGGCCTTGGTTTATGCCAAGATTGATCCATTACTTCTGAATTTGGGTTTTAACGAAGCTTGAATGAGGGCAACACTTTACGTAACTCAATAAGAAGTATGTGCTTACGTTGTTTCTGTGTATGTTGACGATCTACTTGTCACAGGTAACAATTTACAATTAATTCAAGAATTCAGATTGAAGATGCAGCAGGTTTTTGAGATGAATGATCTTGGCTTAATGTGCTATTTCCTTGGGATTGAAATTGCTCAAGATGAGCAAGTGATTTTTATTTCACAAAAGAAATTTGCTTGGGAGCTGCTTAAAAGGTTTGAACTTAGCAAATGCAAACCAGTGAGTACACCTATAGCCCATGGAATAAAATTGCAAAAGGATGATGGTTCTCACTCTATAGATGCTTCAACTTATAGGAGCATGGTTGGTTCTTTGTTGTATTTATCTGTAACAAGACCAGATATCATGTTTGCAACAAATTTACTGTACTGTCGAAGATTCATGAATTTCTCCAACTGAAAAACCTCTTACAGCAGCCCAAAACAGAGTTCTGAGATATGTGCGAGGAACTGCTGAATTTGGTTTGTTTTATAGAAAGATTAAATGGTGTGAAGTTGTTGGGGTTCTCCAGACAGTGAATTGGGCTGGTTCATTGGTACAATATGAAGAGCACTACCTGGTTTTTGTTTTTCACTTGGTTTCTGCTGTCATTTGCGGGGAACAAAGAGAAAGCAAGCTTCAGTTGCTCAATCAACTGTAGAAGCAGAGAGTTGCAGCATCTGCCTGCTGTAAACAACAAGCATATATGTTTGAGAAAAGTATTCATTGATCTTGAATTCTTCAGCAAGAAAATCCAAACCTAAAGATTACTTTGTTGACAACAAACAGCTGTTTGCTTATGGTTAAAAAATCCAATCTTCCATGGAAAAACCAAAAAACCAAGCATATCAAAATCAAGTATCATGCAATTCGTGAAGCTGAAAAGGAAAATGAAATTCAGATTATTCATTGCAATTCTGAAGACCAAACAGCGGATATTTTCACCAAGGCATTGCAAAAACCAAGATTTGAATTTCTTAGGAATAGACTTGGTGTTTGTCTCAACTCTTGTATCAAGGAGGAGTGTTAAAGTTACAGCTACAGCTATTGATGCAAGTGTTGTTGACAATTTTTGAAGGTATTTTGTTAAAGTCATTTAGATTTTGTTGTATTTTGTTGAAATCAAGAGGTAGGTGAGATGGTAGGTGAACTACTTGCTTTTAGGTAGGTTTGGTGAACAAACCTTTCCTTGGACTTATGGGGAAGGTTTGGTTGAAACAAACTTTAAACTAAGCTCTACTTATAAATGTTTACATTATGTTGCTAATGGGAATTAATAAAAGAAATTTAATTGTTTCTTCACCATTAATTGTTTCTTCACACTCACAAAATCTGCAGCTTTTTCTTTTTCTGCAGAATTTCCTTCTCTTCCTTAATTTTCTGCTCTTCTAAACCAACAGATATCAGATATATTTAGCGATAGAGTATCATTAAAGAGAGAGAAATCAATGAGTCAAGACGAGTTAAATCAATAAGCGAATGAGTTAATTAAAAAGAGTGGCTAAATTAGTGGTTTCTAATGGTTGTGGTCGGAGATGGTGGAGATGATGGAGATTGGTGGCGATGTTGGGAGTTAAGCTGGACTTTGGAGATAATGGAGATGAAAGTTGAAGCCAACAATAAATTAATGGGCATTTAGGAATTTTTTATAGCATCCATATGGAACCCAAGTGTTTTGCTGATGTGGTATTCTTTAGTCCACGTTGGCTGCCAACGGTACAAAAATTGGGGTCTATTTTGTCACAGTCAGAATTTCCGCCTTCCACGTTAACATGAATAACCTAATTACTTTTTGTTAAAAGTTTATATACGATATTGTTTTTTGTTGAGATATTAAAATATAAATTCTTGAAAAGTTAAAACACAAAAGATTAATATCTGCAAATTTTTCACATTCAGACATTGGAACAGAAAATTTTGAAAAGTTCAAACACCAAATTTATTAATTATCTATTTTCTAAAATACCATAATTACCAAATTTATAAGAAATGATAATAAATGATGTATATTTGCATTCTTTTCATTTTTTCAATTATTTGCATTCTTTTCATTTCAACAAAAAGTCTTGTTGAAGATTAAAACATAATTTAAGATATATATTAATATTAGAAGAAGAATAAATGAAATATTATGGGTAAATTAGGGAAAAAACGATAAAAAATTTGATTAACTTAATCTTGGTGAAAAATTAGTTGTCCCTGTATGAAAAAAAGGAGGGAGTATTAATTTATTGATAGTTGGATGTTGGAGAGGAGAAAAACTAAAATTTACCTCAAAATATAAGTCGTTTAAGGTTTTTGCATGATATTAAGAAAGTAATTAAAACAAAATCAAAGGTGATAGTTATTATATTTAATATAAATAAGGGTAACATTGACAAAGTGTCATTTATTACTCCTTAAAATACTGAAAATAACTTATATTTTAGAACAAAATAATAATAAATGACCACTTGTACAATTCAAATTTATTAAGTGGGATTGATCCGGATCATCATGATCCATATAGCATCACTTTTTTAATAATGCCTGTAAAAATAATAAAATTGAATTAGCAAAACTGGCATGCATAGAACTTTATCTTTCTCATTTGGACCAGCAATCATTTACCTCTCCTCCAAGCTAAAGGGTTATAACGAACACACTAAGAGGGTTATAAGGAACACTTTTTTAAAAAGACTATCTTATTGTATTTATAAAAGAAAAACAAAACTTAAAAAATCTGCTATAATTGCAGTGGAAAAGTTGCAATTTCTCATATTTCTTGTTAGGATTAATTCAAAATAATATTATTAAAAATATTTTGACATTTCAATTTTATTTAGTGCAGATTTTCTGCATAGAATTTGATGTTTTATAGAATTGATGTTTTTGTTATTAGGTTAATGATTTTTAGATTATTTTAGGTCTTATTTGATTCACTTGTAAGCCTACAAATAGGCATACCTTTTATTAATTCAAGAAGTGCTAAAACATTGTAAATTATCTTGTGCATTTCCATTCTTCCTTCCAAAATTTTCAACCATGGTATCAGAGCCTTCCTTGGATCCGAACCTGATAATAGAAGTTCCCGTGCTGGGTCGTACCCTGGTATCAGAGGAAGAAACTCTTTTTTGAATATTGGAGAGATGTGGCTCGAAGAGAACATTGGAGAAGTGTTTCAAAGAAGAACATTGGAGAGATATGCTCCAAAATAATAAAAAAAAAACGATTGAGAAGTGGCATCAATATTTTGATTGAGAAGGCATCAAAAATAATGAGTTGGAGAGAGTTAGCTTTCAACCAAAATTAATTGAAGAGAGGTGCTTCAAATGCTAGATTAAAAATTTTTAATGTTAATTATTGTAATAAAAAATATTATGTTGAATTAAGAGAGGAATGTTAGGATTCATTCAAAATAAATATTATGTTTGAATTAAGAGAGAATGTTAGGATTCATTCAAAATAATATTATTAAAAATATTTTGACATTTCAATTTTATTTAGTGCAGATCTTCTACATAGAATTTGATGTTTTTGTTATTAGGATTAATGATTTTTAGAATTATTTTTAGGTCTTATTTAATTCACTTGTAAGCATATAAATAGGCATATCCTTTTATTAATTCAACGAAGTGCTAAACATTGTTAATCAAGATGCATTTCCATGCTTCCTTCCAAAATTTCAACATTTCTCTCTGTTAAATCATGCCAGTTTTTACAGAGTTCATCATTGTGATGTGAACGATAGCAGAAACAAGAACATAGCAACTGCAATTCCTTCAACCGTGAGACGGCCATCAAATTGTCATAGCAAGGAGCGAGTCGAAGACCTCTTCCATCTTCCAAGCTTCTCTCTTCCCTGTTGATGTTAAGAAATACTAAATCTTAGAGATCACCAACTAATAATCACAGGAATGCAAATTAAATTTATAAAATTTTCAATATACAATCTTCCTTAGGGCATCCACAAAAATATGAAACAAAGCAGAGTAAGAACAATACAAGTCATCACCCAATATATATTTTTTTTCAAAAAAAAAGCCTACAAATCTAAATATTAACTTCCATCTCCAATCATTTTTTTTTCTGGGTATTAGGGAAATCTCATTCATATTTATCAAGCTCTAATTTTGTGGTAATTATAAACTATGCATTAGAAAATATTATATATGCATATATAATATAAAATTTATAAGCATCGATCAGTTATATGTATATTGTTATACATAATCTTTGTGACCATGGCTTATTTTATTTTATTTTATATGCAAATTGTATTTAGGCCTTTCACATCAATATATTGTTTACAAACAATAACAGGTAATATATGAAGTATATACTTATTTTAAGTCATTTTTATAGATGAAACCAGCTTAAAAAGAAAAAAGAAAAAAGAAAAAAGAAAAGAAGAAGAAGGAGAAGCAAAGAAAAGACACCAAGTGCCACCTCTAGTCAAATTCATCATCTAAACATCATATCCATTCAACAAGCATATACTAAATTTGATAATTACAATTTCTATGAATTATATGATTTATTTTGCATGAAACAAAATTCACACTCATGTTAATTAGAAAAGCTTTTCCACATACCTTTCGAGCTTTAATCGCCAAATCATTATCGACAATGGACACTGCCTTGAAGCCCAAGGGGTGCAATACCTCTTCATAGCTACAGGAGGAATTATGACAAATTCAATTTTTTAGGAAGAGAAAAATCTTTAGAACTAAAAATGTATTGTCATGTTATTAAGATTAGAACTCAGGAAACACACATGTCAAAAACAAAAAAGAACAGAATCACGGAAACAAAAACTGAAGATGTGGAATTACTCAGAGACTGATACTTTATATGGGGGTCCACCAACATGATCATCAATCTGCGAAAATTTTTCTGATTTCAGAATATATATTACGCACTAACTATACAGATATAATAGATGATTAGGACATTAGCCATTTAAATAGAACTTGTCTCACAAGAGTGGATGCCAAGTGAAGAAGTCAGCCTTTAAGAATGTAAAACAATTTGCATTTGGTGATGAGGAAGATAACTGCATTAGGATTAAAGAGAAACTTAAAATAAGTAACTTTGAGGAAGAAGTAGAATGTGGATGCCAAGTGAAGAAGTCAGCCTTTAAGAATGTAAAACAATTTGCATTTGGTGATGAGGAAGATAACTGCATTAGGATTAAAGAGAAACTTAAAATAAGTAACTTTGAGGAAGAAGTAGAATGTGGATGCCAAGTGAAGAAGTCAGCCTTTAAGAATGTAAAACAATTTGCATTTGGTGATGAGGAAGATAACTGCATTAGGATTAAAGAGAAACTTAAAATAAGTAACTTTGAGGAAGAAGTAGAATGTGGATGCCAAGTGAAGAAGTCAGCCTTTAAGAATGTAAAACAATTTGCATTTGGTGATGAGGAAGATAACTGCATTAGGATTAAAGAGAAACTTAAAATAAGTAACTTTGAGGAAGAAGTAGAATGTGGATGCCAAGTGAAGAAGTCAGCCTTTAAGAATGTAAAACAATTTGCATTTGGTGATGAGGAAGATAACTGCATTAGGACTAAAGAGAAACTTAAAAGAAGTAACTTTGAGGAAGAAGTAGAATATAGTAAATACTAATTCAAGCCACCAGTCTCATTATAAATCTAAGAAATTAGAATTAAATTCCGCAAGCACATACACTTAATTATCATTTGGTGTCAAGTGATTTGTTCAATGTCTTACCAACCAATTTTTTCATGTGCTCAATCATGAAACTAGGGTAAAAATAAAATCTAATGAAACAAAAGTCTAATTAGATAATCAGAGTAACTAAACTGTGCTTTAAGATCCCTGTCCACCACACTCACTAGTGAAATAAGCATATCTGGAATAGGAGGAATGCCAAAAGAAAAACAAAATATAAAAAGGTAGCAAATTACAACTAAAGAAAACTTATCTTGCTAAAATTAAGATGTTAGCTTGAACTTTGCAAATATGTTATTTAAATTTAACTGCAGGAACTAAATGGATCTACACATGCCCATTTCATCCTAAAAACCTTTGAAAACTTCTTAATCAACCACCTATTTCACACAGCACACATTGACAGGCATTTCATATACCAACATTGGAGACCAGAACATACGGCATGGTTCATTTCTTTTGAAGCTACTTTGCCTAAGAAATCATGTACCATAGCAGTTTGTGAACACACTTGTGCCAAAAAAAACAAAAGATGAAAAGCTAAAGATCCATATTACCATTTTGTCCTGTCATTTCAAAAGTGTTACTTATCTGAAGTGAAATGTGCCTGCACAGTGCTCTTACCTCTTCTGCTTTCTTAATGGCTTGGCCAGATACATCTAACCCAACAACATAGCGCTCAGGGGAGGCAATTGCAAACACATCATGACCCTGCCATATTTGAATAATTCATACCAAATAAATAATACATACATGAAAATTCTAAATCTAAAGACCTAATAGCCATTAGCTGATGTTCCATAAATAAATGAACTCATGGGCAAAGAGTGATTTACCCTGTAAATTGCTTTCTTTACGGTAAGCCTTAAACAAGTAGATGTTACAAAGTCAATGTTACAATGCCAAAAACTCGCATGCAGACATTGCAATTGAAGTTCTATTCAGTAAACTGATAATATCAGAAATGACTTGGCTCTAATGATTTTTAATGTAAAAATTCAACCTTAATTAACTGAATATCACTCATCCAAATTATCTCCTCTTTTACTAATCCCATAAATGAATACCTTAATTTATCATTGTTACCTTAAATCAATCAATACTTTTCACAGAACACATATACAGACAGAAGAGATATAGAATTTGCACCTGTACTAACTGTACAATCAGTAATTGCTCTAGAGTGTATCATGATTTTGATCGACTCTTACACAGAATAAATGGAAAAAAAATACACAAACATGTAACAGACGATAAAATTTACACTGCCACATCCAGGGACTAAAGCCCTGCCCATAGGAAGGGCTCCTGTCCGATGAAGGTGCAATAGAACAGGTGTTGGCTGTCCTAAATCCCATGGGGTCAATCCCTGCTCCCAGCACTTCTCCCAACCACCTAAGGAGTTAATTATGATAAATATTTCAGATACTAGATGTATACTAAGGAACCTCAGTAGAAACAAAGAACATCAAATTCATTCCATGCCAGGGTTTTAAATAACAGAATCAGAAATAGCAACAGCATCATGGATTGGGTCTGAATTGGATTCAGATGTTTTGAATCCACCGCCAATGTCGTGAATTTCCAAATTCATTTACTCAAAATCAACAATGAACTAGAATTCAATAAAATATGAGTTAAACAAAATTAATAAAGTATGCATAAATTAAGTTAATTGGACTAAACACAACTAGTGGTCATTTCTCATAATTCGTTTACTGTTTCTACGCAAATAGGGAATCACCCGTAAAGAAATAGAAAATAACATAACCATGGGCTAAAATTCCATTACAAAACATCAGAAACATTGTGAAACAGCATTTATTTTAAACCATAAAAAGCAAAAATAAAAATATCCTCATTTCTTCTGAATTATCATAGCTTTATTGTATATTGAGTAATTTAGTAAATCCCTGCAGACATGTGCAGGAATGAAAGAATAGACATATTTATACAGACACAAGTCTAACTAAAGCAACAAACACAGAAAAACAAGAGCTACTTAGAGACCATACTTTGACGACAATTGCTAACTGTAGTGTAGTTTGTAAGAAGTGTTTTTTTTTTTTTTTTTTTCAATTGCTAACTGTAGTGTAGTTGCTAAGAAGTGTTTTTTTTTTTTATTTTTTGGGGAACAACAAGATGGCCCGTTTTTTTTTTTTTTTTTTTTGGAACACAAGATGGCCCGCGAACTGCAAGGATTGACATTTTAGACATTGTATGGCCTACAATAGCCTCTTCAGTGTCAACAAAATTAATACCAGGCTCTAAAGCATATGCATGGATATCACTTACAAATTAAATTGTGAGATTGTCACAAGAAAAAGAATTTAACAGCATAAGTTTATAATAAGTTCATCAATGCAGAAGCATGCAGTTACAATAGTCTCTTTGACAGTCCCAGCAAAAGAGGTTAACACCCAAATACATGATATATTGTCAATCTTCATCATACAAATCCAAATTTCCGTTATTCCAGGGAACTCTTTCAGTGTTCTCTTCTCTCACTGGTATGTTTCCCTGATTTTATTTATTTGATCCAGGAATCTAAGTTATTTGCAGTATTTCTTCTCTGATTCCCTTTGTTTCTTGTGTTCTTCTCAATTTCAGTTTCATGTTTCCAGTTTGGATAAGATATTGGGGATTGCTCATCCTATTAAAGGAAGGGCCACGGAAAATTCGATACAAACCTTCAAATGTTAATTTTCTTTGAAGATAATCACCATAGTTTTGAGTTTGTGGATTACTTCCAGAGAAACTACTGTACACTTACAGCAGAATGGAAAGGAGCAGGGGTTTCATGCATAGAGTTGACTAAATGTACAGTTATAATGTCCTGTGAGTTCTTTAATTATGGGACTAGTATTCTTTCCACTGTTAGATCTCACACACGCTTCAATGTTAAGATTAAGAAATAATCCTGCATGTCATAGCACAGTAGTAATTTTTTTCCTTCATAGTTAAATCATAGTAGCTACATGTAAATTCATCCTTTAACCACATAAACTACTCTTAAGTCTTATTCTTTTCCTCTTTCTATTTAAGTTTCCACTTACCATTCTGCACATGAGTGTTTCTTGCCTGAATTCTGCCAACGACCAGAGAAGGAGTTGGATTTGAGGTGAAATCAGAGAAAATGTAGAAAGATGGGAAATGCTGTCGCAGTCTATTTGCTTGGGAATGTCCACCACTTCTTGAAGACAAAAAACTAACAAGCGCGCTGGGTTGCAAATCTTTAAATCAGGAAGTTTATGTTTTGAAAGTACTATGAGAAAGCTACCAGTGTTATACTAGAAGAAGAAGCCTTCCAAATAGACGCTTTGTTGTCGAAATACGAAACTCCATTTATATTAAGCTAATATATTGAGTAGAATTAGGAGATTAAACCATAAACTAAGGCTACATGTGAGAATGACCAAAAAAATTAGAGATGATCCCCTAAGGCTGGCTGTGAGTAGAAGTTGGTACCACATACGGTTCTGGTTGATTTCTCCCATGGCTTAAATGTGAATGTAAGCTAATAAACTGCTCTAGTGGTTGAAGAATTGGGTAAGATATTATCGGTTATCAAAAAAAGAAAAAACAATCAAAAATGCAATTACTTTTGCCCTTATGGAAATGAAACCAGTGGATTTCTTTTTCAAGAACTGATAAATGAATAGTTATCCAATATTTTGTTTATTCTCTAATACCACATGTAAAAGGAAACGTTAGCCGACAAATTACCATTCTTCAAAAATGAGGTCAAAAAGAAAGTAGCTTAAGGAATCTGAGCCAAGCTAATTCTTCAAATTGAATGATGATTATAAATGTAGGCTTCCGAAATGGGGCAGTAGAGACATTACTCTAGAATTCAGTGCCAAGTGACTGGGGTTCAGCCTTTAGATATCAAGGTGATGGCCGTATGCCCATTTTCAAGTGTATTTTCCAAAAATCAAACCTACTAAACGCAGAAACCAATTCCTAAACAGCAAAAATACAAATCAAACACCTTCGCCGATCAAAAATAGCAACATAAAGTTATCGGAAAACATCTTTAGAACATAAAACAAAACAAAATCCGAAGCTATTCAATCCTAATGCAATTACATTGTTAAACACATCACAAGCCAAATTTTTTATCGAAAAAAACGCATAGTAGTTTACCAGACGAGTCGGTTTCTAGGAGTCGTTGGATTTGATGAACTTGAGGATTGAATTTAACGTTGCTCTCATTTCGATACAGTTGTTCTTTTCTCTTATTATCCATATTCTGACTTGTGGCGCGAAAATCGAATCTTCTGGAAGGCACCGTTCTGTTTGTGGACGCAGGATTCCGGAGGAAGAGGAGAACGCTTGAGAGCCGACCAACAGAGTATGATCGCATATCGTTAATATCGTTCTGGTTTTGACACCGGACCGGAGTAATATTTTTGGATGTTTTAAAAAACGGTTGAATAAATAACTTCACCCCTAAATTTTTATCATTTAACTTAATTGGGATTTTTAATTTTTATTTTGAATTTTTTTATTTATAAAATTAAACTTATTCAATATTTCAACTTGCAAGACTTCAATTTATAAAATTAGATTCATAAAATACCTATAAAATAATTATAAATTTTAAAAATTATTATTTCAAAAATTATATTAATTACACGTCAAATCAATATTTTGTATATAAACCTTTTGTTTGGATAGATTTCAATTATAAGAATTTAATTAGATAAAATTGAACAAAAATAAACTAAATTTTACAAAAATAAGTGAAATTTCCAAATTGATTCCATAAAACTAATCAATCCAATTTTTACGATAAAACTACCTTTTTCCTTCTAAAAAGTCAATTTTTAAAAATTTTTAACCTATTTATTTTATCAAAATTGACTAAAACCATTTAAAATTTTATTTTTTTAGAAAAATATATTTTTTAATATTTTTTAGCATTTATTTATTATTGAGAAGAGAGATTCAAATAAATATACATTTATAGTTAAATTAAATGTAATAATTTTATTAATGTTATTTTTTACATATTTATTTTAATAAAAATATAAAAAAATAAGTTTAAATTAAATGTAATAAATTTTATTAATGTTATTTTACATATTTATTTTAATTAAAAATATAAAATAAATAAATAAATATATATTATATAGTATAACAATAAATATACATTGATATTAAATTATATAGTATAACATAAATATAATTGATATTTATTATTTATTTTTATGAAATAACTATTTAAAGATATTTTAGGAAACAATAGTACATAAATTTTCAATTATAAATTTGTATATAAATTCATAATATAGCATATAAATCACTTGTTTGGAATAAGTGAATTTTATAAAAATTATATAAAATTCATTTATTCTAATTAAGAGGCAGAGTCAAATAGCAATTACTTAAAAAATTAAAAATAAATAGCAATTACTTGAAAATTTAAAAATAAAAACACAGTGAAGTCTTATTATATCGCTGACTTGTTTGGCTAGTCACAAGTTAACAACTAATAATTTATTTCAATGGCTGATTATTAATGTATTCTAATCTTATGGTAGAAAAAATTCTATATTCACTGTTGTAGTTTTGCCCCGAAATAAACTTGATGATGTTTTAATTGTTTTTTCTTTTCATCCAAACTTGGGCTTATTTTGTGGGCTTAAGTTTAATTTCTAGTGGTCAAAGCCCAATCCGCATATCTATCTCTTTCTTTCTCCCTGCCCCTCCGTCTCGCTGTGTTTTGCCTCTTTGCGGCAGGGACAAACCGTCACCGCCGGGAGCTTCGTTTCTCAAGACATCAACACTTTTTCTCCGTCAATTCATAACTATACCTAACTTAATATTTCTTCCTTTTATTCTGCTTTTCATTCTCAACTCCATCCCAGCTTGTTCCCGCCATTCCTCACCGCCACCAGACGGTGCATATAAACGACAGTATCAATAACACTATGGGAGTAATAAAAGATGGTAAAGTATCGGGGACTATACCTAACAATGAAGCATTCGCAGTTCACTATCCTGGTTATCCATCTTCCATGTCTCGCGCCATCCAAACTCTTGGTGGCCAGGAATCGATTCTCAAGGTATATTTTATTTATTGTGGAGTGGAGTTAGCATTTATTCTTGTTGTAAATTAATTTTGGTGTGGAATTAGCAGGCGCGTAGCTCGCAATCCAATAAATTGGAGCTTTGTTTCCGGCCAGAGGATCCTTACTCACATCCTGCATTAGGAGAGCTTCGTGCCTGTAATAGTTTGTTGCTTAAGATATCTAAAAAGAAGATAAGTTCTTCGCTTAATTCGACTAATGTTGTTAATGATAAACCGGAAACTGAAACACATGTTCAAACAGAGCTTTGTGCTGACATTGTTGCTAGAATTCCAGAGGCTTATCATTTTGAGGGTTAGAATAATGAAATCATTCTCTCTCTCTCTCTCTCTCTCTCTTTAATTTTAGTTCATGTTTGTTTGTTCTTTCTGCTAAGCAAGGAGTAAAGCAACTAAAGCTTGCATCTTTGCATTTTTTTTTTTTTTTTTTTTTCTTGCATTTTTTTTTTTTTTTTTTTGGTTTGAAATGTTTTGAAAGGAATGTGGAACTTCCAGCATGTTGTTTGCAGTTCATTTTTTTTTTTTTTTTTTTTGGTTTTGAAATGTTTGAAGGAATGGTGGACTTCCAGCATGTTGTTGCAGTTCATGCAGATGCTGCCCGAAGAAAAAAGAGTAATTGGACAGAAATGGAGGAGCCAAGCTTTGGTAAAAGCTTTTACTTTTTGATGCTTTTCATATCCAAGTGAAAGAAATTATTTTCTTAGGAGTGAGCTTTTTTTTTTTTTTTGTCCTAAAATTATTTTGGCTACTGTGTTTTACAGAAAAGGCTGGCCTTATGGATTTGGATCAGGAGGATGTGCTGATTCTAGTTCCTCCACGTTTTACAACTAAGGATATGCCAGTGAATTTAGCGTAAGTTCATAATAGCATTTTATATGTTTAACCTGTAGTTTTCTATTTTAATTTTGTATTTGGTATTTTCTGGTCGATTTTTGTAATGGTGCTTTCTTTGTTTTTATTTTGCAATCAATATTTTAAGGTTCCATTGGGATCTCAATTGAATAGAAATTTGCTGAAATATGCCATATCAAGATAAAAGCTGTAGGAAATGATAATATTATTGAACTGAGTTTATCAATTAAACCTATGGGACAATTCTCACAAACTCAGGTGGCCAAGTAGGGGGCAGAATAGAAAGGATTAAAAAGAAACAATTTAATTGTTTGTCAGGAGCTTTCTTATGATGCTTCATATTTTTCTTTCCCTGAAAACTATGAGTTTGATTGTTTCATTCTTTGAACTGGTTGTGATAAATGTTATGCTTCTCAGGTTGAAACCACCACCAATTTCAAGTTCAAAAAAACAAGACGAAGCAGTAGAAAACCATATTGAGGTATTATTTAAATAAATTTAACATTAATGTTGCACCAACTTTTATTGTATCCTGGAAGCTAATATTAAGGTTATAACATTGACTTTAATGGTTAATTTATGGTGTTTCCATAAGAATTCAATTAAGATATATGTATACTCATAGTCTTGAGGATTTCTATGGATATTAATAACATGTATCATTCTCTTTCTAGTAGATTTTTTCAGATCTTCTGGTAACACATTCTGTCTAACTAACAACTTTCTTGCTTTATCTTTTGCAGATGAATCTAGAGCCTGCTCTTGCTATTGATTTTAACATTAAAGATATCCTGATAATTTTGTTTGTGTTATATATTCTTTCTTACCTTTTTGAATGGTTTTTGTTTCAAAAGTAAAATTTATCTGATTTTAGATATTTTCAACGTTGATAACTTGATCCTAGTTTAGGCAATTGCAACATCATATTTCTGCATGGATTTTATGTTCTTACTTCCTCAAACACGAATTATACTGTTATTTAATAGGCCAGATATTAATCTGAATGTCAGGTGCCGTATTGTTACTGTTGTTGTCCTCATTGACCTATTTCATCATTACTTCCAATAGAAGCTCTACACTCTAATGGAACTTGATGCATCTGCTTAGATGCAAAAAGGACTGCCTCCTATTAATCTGATTAAAAAGATTAACAAAGTTGTTTAACAAGATTAACAAGATTCCTTCAGATTTAGTTTCCTTTCATATTTAACAAGCCATAATTGTTTCCTCAGCATTTAATGTAGCATATTGATATTTTACATGATCAAAATCCTGAACAACCATCAATCTTTAGTATGGTATCAGAGAATTTGGTTTCAAACAAGTCAGACTAGTGTAGTTTTTCTTCCTCACTTTTGCATAGGGAGCAAACAAATGTAGCAATTTTAGAAGTGACTGTTGGCTGGTGAATTGTGAGCAGCTTTTGAGAGATAGTGGTACTAGGAATATGCAGCTTGAGAGCTAGAGAAACTTTTTATGTAAAGATGGTGCCCTGTAGAAAATTAGTTATTATTATTATTATTATTATTCTCAAGCAGATGGCAGGGATACTTCTGCGAATACATCCACAATCAAAAGGATTTTTGGTGCTAATAATTCTTTCTCTCATATAGAACCCCTGCATCTGTGCTCCTGCTTTTAATGTATTGGGAGGTTGCCATTTTAGGAGAGCTTTGGACTAGATTAATACCATTGGCCGTCAAAAAAAGGGAATGCCAAAAAGGATATTGTTAGCACCACCACAAGTTAAAATTACTTGAAACACCTATGCTATGAGATTTTGTTCTTTTCAGTTTGTTGCACTTAGCTGTCATACAGATTCCTAAAGAAATAAACTGGAAGGCTTTCATTGGACAAGGCTCAGAGCTGTGGGTATGGCAGATGGCTGTATCTGAGCTGTTTGAGGAGCGGCCTATATGGCCCAAAGGTGCACTGACTGATCGCTTACTTGATAAAAACCTGAAATTTACCCATCAGACGCTCAGAAGGTGTTTTTCCTTCAAATTTGATAGCTTGAATTTTTAATGACCTTCCATCTTTGTAATTAAATTTTTTTTGTCTGATCTTGTAGACTTCTGCTTGCAGTTGCCTACTACTTTTCAGGTGGACCATTTCTCAGATTCTGGATCAGAAAAGGATATGATCCCCGCAAGGATCCTGAGTCTCGCATGTGAGAGCTCTATCCAAAAATATCTGAAATATCTAACTCCCCTTCTATTTGTATTTCTCATAATTCATTGGTCTTAAATTACAAGCACACATGAAAGGATAATACAGTAGTTCACTCATTTCTTTCGGAAATGTGTATCCCCTATTAAATAAGGTGAGGGTTTGCATAGTTTCCTAGGATTCCATTGTTTAAATAGATTCCTTGTATATATTACTTGTGCATTAAGATGGCAGCTGATTGCTAGGAGATACGATAGTGCATAATCAGGTGGCATTGTGCATGGTTTTGAGTAGAGGTATTCATGAACTGCCATAAACTGTCCAAATCAATCTAAAATCGTATTTTTGAAAAAGTTGGTGGCTTGTTGGTCTGGAAAATATAAAAAACTGAAAGGTCGGTTTGGTTTATAATTTTGAAGTCAAAATCTCTCAACTGAACCATGCCATACATATATATCAAATTTTTTTATATGCATTTAGATTAGCCAAATTACTTTGCTTTTTTTTATAAGTCATAAATAACTTATTTCTCATTCAAAATTTTATGTATATCTGACAAATAATTTTAAGTCAACAAGTGTTTTCTTATTCATAAAGCATTATTAGTGTGAGGCTATATTTTATTGTTTTCTTTTTGTAACATTGTTCAAACCATGGGAACCAAACCACATTCATAGATTTGGTGGTTTGAGTACCCTTTATGATTTGATTCTATTTAAATTTTTTATAAACCACCAATACTAGTTTGGTTTGTACAAATCTTCTGAACTGAACGATGAGCACCCCTAATTTTGAGGTGCTTTAGTTGATGTTAAGGTTGTCTGTTTCATGAGAAATTCATACTTTCATGACTTGATTCCACTTCAAGGTGAGTGAAGTTGGAAATTAATTTTTTGAGAAAGAGACTTTGCTTTAAGCTTTCTTGAAATTTAATAAACTCTAATTGTTGCAAACCTTACAGTCCATTCATCTGTTTAAAAAAAAAAAAACCAAAAAAAAAAAAAAAAAATTCATCTGGTTAAAAAAAAAAAAACCAAAAAAAAAAAAAAAAGAGGAAAAAAGTAATACATTAATACCTGTTTTTAAAGTAGCCATAATTGATAACTTGATAACCATGTTTTAGTGTAACCCAACTAGTAGTTTTAAAAAAAACAAAAAAAAAAAAAAAAAAGAGGAAAAAGTAATACATAATTACCTGTTTAAAGTAGCCAAATAATTGGATTAACTGATAAACCATGTGTTAGTGTAACCAACTAGGTAGTTTAACGATTATTCTTTGCTTTTTGATTGCCTGAAAATAGGAAAGATTTTTGCCAATTCAGTTAATGAATCCACTGAAAAAAAAAAAATAGAGATTCTATCACAGATTTTTTAATAATAATATGCATGGCATTTCATTTCTGTGCAGAATCTAAGAGCTAATTTCTTCAAACCATTGATATGAATGCATTTTGAGTGAGAAATAACTAAGAAAATGAGTGAATTTTTTGCATGCCATGTTATATTTTAATTTATCTTGGTCTGCTACTGTGCTATCTATTGCAACTAAAACTCAACCTTCGAGTTTTATTTGTAATAAAGTAAGCTCTTTCCCTTAAAAATAATACTGTTTGAGATTTTATTGTTATAAAGGCCATTACTCTTGCTGCTTCTTCAATGATTTTCTTCTTTAGATATGTCGTGGGACGTTAAATTTGATCGTGATTGTAAGTTCTGAATTGATTTGATGTTGATCTTTCTTTTTGTCACTGAAGGATGGTTTTTATGGTTACTTTCATATCCTTCGTCAATATTGCATGAAGTGGGTTCCTTGAGAAGGAGAGTTGAGTTATGGGTTCGTTAAGAAGAGTTGCCTGCTGATATCCTTTAGGGGTTCCTTGCCCTGGGTGTTATAGGTTATGAAAGTGATGGCATATCAGCTAAGCATGAGCATTGTGATTAATCAGCATATGGGCAATAAGAAGGATGTACTTTCCTTCCATCAGCTTAAACATTTCTAAAACTAGAGATTTCCAACATTATGGTGGAGGAAAGATTGTGCTAGGGCTTACTTAAGTTGATAGTAACTTGGATGAACTTGGCGCAGTAAGCATCTTTGCATGGATATATTAACAGCTTATTAAAAATCAGAATAGCTTATTATTGAAAATATGTTGCATTGAGTTATAATGTCATTCATACTTATTGCATATGTACATATGGAAACATGATTTTCTTATTTCTAATGGCTTGTCTAAATCGAAGTGATTTAAGTTCTATAATTTCTTAATTCTTCTCCCTCCACTATTTAATGGCAGATATCAGAGAATCGACTTTCGAGTGCCACCTCCATTAAGAAGTTATTCTGAAGCTAATAATGGGTCAGTATTTTTCAAATGTTATCTTTTATTATGAACATATTTAAATTTTATAATTGCCACTTTTGACTGTTTGAATGTAATTTCATTAGAGGTATCAAAATTGAGAGGAATTTGTGGCCTGTTTTGAAGATAGTTCAAAGCATTCCGCATACATAATATTAGTTATTTAATTGATCAGTCTACTCACACTTGCTCACTGTGTGCCATATGTAAATTCTTAAATGTTTATAGTTTCAGCATAAGATGCTTTCATTTTGAAATGGATTTTTTCTACAGAATATTGCCTTGTGCAAATGTTCCACTTTTTTCTAATGATATACATACCTATCCTGACACCTCCATAAGCAGAGAGCCTTCTTTCACTTGGGTTGCCTTTATGAGAAACTGCAGTGAAGGAAGAACAACAATAACATTGAATAACTTAGAAATAGAGAACTTTGGTGCAAAATAAAGACTTGTGTATGGCTTGCGGCCTGCACCATAATTATGAAGAATATGCTCATTGATTTTGTCTGACCAAAAGCCGTACTACATATGTAAACAAATCCTCATGATGGCCTGAACATGACTTGCAAAATTTTTCCTGTGCCAAGTTTCATCTCAGGCAAAATCCTGATTTTGCGCATTTGAATTCTGCAGCTTGAAGCATAAATGGGAAGATTTGTGCAAATTTCAAGTTTTTCCTCACAAATTCCAGACATCTTTGCAGTTCTGCGAGCTTGATGATGATTACATTCAACAAGAGATAAAAAAGCCTCCAAAGCAGACAACTTGCACTGTAAGTAGCATGTTGGGCTTTGTTGATATGTATGTATTGAAGACTCCTATTTATGTTGGGTTCCAAATATTGTTTGTTACATAGTGCATCACTGCACCAGGCATTGTTGAATGGGATTTTAGATGGCCTCTATGTTCTCCTTCAATAACTGTATGTGATTTTAAAATCACAATGAAGCAGTTCTGTATTGGTTGAAATGTCTGTAAGACTAACTGATGTTACACCCGTTCTGGAATTGTGTAGTGTCTACAATATCCATTAGTCCAACAATTCTTGTTATAACCTTTTTACTCTTTTCTTTTTTCTCAACAACCCACCAAATCTTTCAATCACGTTTTTGTTATTTAATAAGATGTCAGTTGGGATCATGTTGATATATTAAATATTTGAGTTAAACTCTTGATTTTAATGTTGATTTGAGTCATTTTGTAAATTGTGAAGGAAAAAAAATACTGGTACCAGCAGTTGCAATTTGATTTTGTTTGATTCTGTAAACACGGTGATTGATTCCATTATCTAAACCTCTTCATGCACACACATGCATGCCCATATGCGTTTTCATTTATTCTAAAAAAATCACATTCTTCAGTATAATTTTTTATAAAGGTCCAATGACCAAAAATATTCAAACCTCTTTCTACTTGTTAATTTTAGCAAATTCCTTTAATTTTACAATTCGCACCTCAACCTTTGACATTTCAATTTTAGCAATTAGTCGTAGGTCAGTTGGGTGATGATCTGGCACATTGGCTAGTTGCTCTTTATAATGTATTATTCCTGGCCCCTGCAATTGATTAAAAATTCATTAAATGAAATAAAGAGATTTGGCCAGATTGGAAAGTAATAGACCTTATTATTATTTCTTTTCTCCACACAGAACAGCTTGATGTATAAGAAACTTGAAATCAACTAAATATTTTTCAGCAGTGTAGTTCCAATAGATTCTTTGCGTCTGCATGTTTTAAGTTTCTGTCCTCTGTGGTGTGAGAACTGCATGACCTCCATATGTTGAAACTGAATTTTGAATATCTAATTTATTTGTAATGTATATATGTGACTGCTGCTCTCAACTAGATTTTGAGTTTAAGGCTTAGTTGAATAGTAGTGTACCTATATCCAAATATTTGACCATGTTTAGAGCTTGAGCTAATGTTGTTTAGTTGGCAGTATGGTACAGGATGGTTCTTGCAGCACGTGCATGATAGCTTGAGACTTCGTGTAATGATGAGATTCCTATCAGTATACCCAAAATCTGGTGCAGCAAAATTGCTAAAAGCTGCTTCTGAAGATTTTGAAAAGTCGAAGAGGGCATGCATTCATAAAAATATCTTAAAACCTGATCAACAGGAACAACGCCAAATTAATAAAGGTTATTACAGTTGCACAGATGTCGTTATAGAATATTCTTCTTTTATTAAGTATAGTTGTACCAATTCATGTGCCATTTCATACTTTGTGAATAGTCACAAATACATCAAGTATTATGAAAACTCAAAATGTGGGGACAAAATATTATGCATCCTCTCATACTTTTGTTTGCACTTATTGCGTCAAGCATGCATGCACTGGTTTCCTATGTGCTCTCTTCTTCCCTGCCTCTTGTTTTCTTCAGAAAATCATTTCCTTAGTTGAAGAATCTTCCTGCGCTTTCTGTAAAAGATGGTTCAAATTCCCATACTATCAATGCCGTTGATAAAGTACTGCTAGTGGGGTCCACTATTACATTCCTTTTCTGCTTGCTTTCTCAGTTAAAGTGAAATCTTGATAAAATAAATTACAATGCAGAAGTTGATGATGAAGCAAATGAGAAGCAAAACAATATTGATGAAGCTGATGCAGATGACATGGAGGCTGATGATCCCGAAGAGGAATTGGATGCATATGAAGCAATGGATATGGTAATAAAATTGTTTGATATATCATTTTCCTTTTCCCTGTTAACTTATGTTTTGAGTTAAATTCTTTCTGATTGTAGGCTGAGGAGGATGATGAAACCTTTCTGCAAGCAAATTCATGTATCCTTATCATAACAATCCTTTTCTTTTCAGTACTGCACTGTACAAATAAAAAATGATGTTTCCTATAGGCAAGTCAGAGAAATTATATCAAAAAAAGCAACTTGATCATATATTTTTCTATTCAATTTGTTTTTTATCTTCATTTATTATTTCAAGAGCTCATGAAGCACACAATTCTGTCACACTGATTTAGACAGCATGAGAATAGAAGTCTCAGGTGATCAATGATTGCAACAAACCAACCCCACTCCACAACAAAAAGAACCCCCCAAAAGAAATATTTAATTATGTCACTATCTGGATTTTACGTTGAATATCCTTTATCTCTTCGGTCTAGATACGGAGAACAACTCAAAGAGCTATTTGCAAGAGCTCTTTGATAGCTTTCCACCAGCAGATGCTGGTGCTGACAAAATACAAGATGCTGACAGTAGTGATGAAGAGTATCAAATATATGAGCAAGATGATGATTCTGATTATGCTGATGATTATGATGACTGACATGCTCAGTTTGTCTTTCATCTGTATACAGGTCTTTCTCCTTTCTTTTTCTTTTATTCACTCTAAAATTTTCAATTTTTATTTGATGTCCTGTACAAAAATCTGAAGCTTCAAGTTTGAACGTACATGTTCCAGGTCTGCCAAATTCGACTGCATTACAGCAATGTTTCAACTGCTGTCTGAGTACTCTTGTACTCGACTTATCCCCAGACAGCCAGCCAACACGAGACCACTGCATTCTAAAACACTTGGCCACAAGGCAAATTCTCCTGGACTTAAAATAATGAATCATGGCTTTTTTGATACAATAATGAATCATGGGCTTTTTTGATACCTGACATTGGAAGCGACTAGTTGATAGAAATGATGGTGTCCAAGACATGAGATAGCACCACCTGAGGTATGGTCCGAGCATTCTTTATTTATTTATGTATTTATCAAGCCTATAAGCATAAAGATCAAAAGAGAGTTTATGTTTGCCATCTCACCAAACAGATGTGAAAATAGGCACTTTTCAGACTAGAGGTTAGTGCGGCAATGCCTACATGTATATTTATAGAACAGTGACTTTGTCAAGCAAAATTAATCCGGCTGTTTCTGTCTGAGATTTGTTTTTATCAAGTAAATGCTAAATTACGAACTCTCTTTCTTTATTGTTTCTGTCTGAGATTTGTTTTTATCAAGTAATGTTTCTGTCTGAGATTTGTTTTTATCAAGTAAATGCTAAATTACGAACTCTCTTTCTTTATTGTTTCTGTCTGAGATTTGTTTTTATCAAGTAAATGCTAAATTACGAACTCTCTTTCTTTATTGTTTCTGTCTGAGATTTGTTTTTATCAAGTAAATGCTAAATTACGAACTCTCTTTCTTTATTTTTTGTGCAAACAAATTAACTAATAGCAACTAAGTTTACATGAAATTTTGTGCAATTCTATATCAGTCTTTTATCATCTAGTTTGCCTATTTTTAGAGTGGATAGAAATTTGCATCATTTACTTGGCCTGATGGTGAAAATGAAAGAATGGTGTTGGTAGTTTTACTTCATTACTACCTGAATATAAAATCATATTCTGTATACACCAAAAGCACTGTTCAGAAAATGTCAGCTGTGAATTGTGTTGTGAAAGCGTGGAGATGTTGCTTCAACTGGTCAAGGTGATGGATATATTGCTTACCAATTTGCCATATTTCTTTTTGGATATATTATCATGTCTTTCACTTTCAGTCGCAATCTTTAACTTTCAATAAAAAAATATTCAATCTAATAAATTGATTTCAATATTGGCCTCCAACTCAATTTTTTGTAAACTAAATCGGAATTTACTGATTTTTTTGAAATTAATTGGTTAGGTTTCATTTTTTTTATTAAAAAAAATAAAAGTTACATGCCATAATTTAAGCAATAGGTTGAGTGCTCGATCCGGCGAAAATTTTTTCTAGTTGCGCTTCTTTTTTATAGGACTGACGCAGACTTAAACGGTATTACTCAATAGGCTAAGGATAACCCTGATGTGAGAAAAAAAAAAATCATTTAGCGACTTGAACCGTATCACTTAATGGCCCAAGGATACAAGTTTTTTTTTTTTTTTTCCGTAATCATTCAAAAAAAAAGTCTTATGAAGAAAATACTAATAAAATGTAGTTTTTTAAAAATATATATATAGAAAATAAGTCAACATTATGAAATTTTAGAAGTAGCCTATGATTGAGAATAACAATCTCACTACATCTTATAAATGTTTGAGGATCCATCTTATATTGTCTTAACTTTCTCATAATCTATTACTCTCTAATTTTGAAATTTATAGATCATTTAGATTGACACAATTTTGAGTGATGACTTTAAATATTTCATGATTTTTCAAATTCCTTTACCTGATTAAGAAAAATTAAGCTAAAAACTACAAATTAATAAATTTTATTATAATTAAGCTATTATCAATGAATTATAAATTATTCCTCGAAAAAAATCAATGAGTTATAAATTTTATCACTAACGTCAATTCCACAATTTTAAAAGAAAGATCTCTTTATAAGTAGAATTTTCTCAATCTCATCTGAAAGAATTTAAACCATTTAATTTTATTCTAAAAATATTTTTAAATTTCATGGATTTCATTTTCCAACATGTAAAATCCTGTACATTTCAGATTCCATCAATCCAAATGAGCATTTAAATTCTTCGTTAAACTCTTTTTGGTCCAATGGCTTTCCACTAACCTCATAAAATGCAAAACATAGAGCCACAAGAGTAGGAATCAAGACACTGCTAAAGCATTCGGTTTACCTGAAATTTAACGTCTCTGCAAATCAATCTAACTTTTTCATTTTCACCACTCATTATCGATCAATAAACTGAGGATGGACTAAGAAATAGAGATTTTACATAGAAAAATTCTGTGCCAACTAATTAGATCAAATGAAGAACATTTGGATATTCAGTGGATTTAGTTAGTGACTATAATGTTTAATGGTTTATATCCTTGGAAATTTACGAAGAAAATCAAGAATTGAAGTTTCTAAATTTACAACAAAGGATTTCAACTTCGAAAATGAAAATTTCTGCATTAACATTGGGGAACTAGCAAGAATAAATTCATCTTATCTTTATTTCATGTGTAAAAATAGTATTTTTAAACGAAAAGATGAAAATCAATAGATCAAATAGTATTTTTAAACGAAAAGATGAAAATCAATAGATCTTTGATTGTATTTTTAAAATAATGCAATATCATTACATTTGAACATACACGAGGAAAGAGTAGATTCTAGTGACAGACCTACCATATATCCCATCTCTTTTTAACACGGAACATTAATGCGGAGGATCTGATATCATCTTGTGGCACTTGCAGCATAAATTGGACTTTCATCTTCATCGGGGCAGTCTTTGCCTTTCCGCTTTCATCTCCAACCTAAAAAATGAAATTGTGCATTATTGAAGTCATGCAACCAAGTTTTTGAACCCATACACGAAAAATGTAGTGACGTATTAATTAAAGGCTCAAAAGGCTGTAATTTTTTTCAATTGCTTCAATTTAAGTAAGCTGAGATGTAACCATGATACTACACCCAGTTTTCATCTAATACCATTTAAATGCAAAGGATGAAAGGTTACATAATTTTAAGATGTTCAACGTTAAAAAAACCTAAAGACCGCACTAAATTTGATCTACAGAAACGAAGAGCTCTAACACTATATTATTGTAGCCCCCACAGAGCAAAATCAATCTAAAAGCAGTCTACTCTATGGTAATTTCCTCCCACTTCAGGGAATACGGGGGAATTTATTCTTCAATGAGTGTTGCACCTTAGCTGCTTTTTAACAAAATTGAAACTGTAGCTAAAAGTGGTTGGATGCTATGGATTAAACAGATGGTTAACATTTAACACAATTGATAATTAGCAATTAATTTTTATAGAGCCAAAAGAAAGAAGTAATGAATAGATAAGACTTACCCAAAGTGATGCCCAACCAAGACGCACATCTGAATCATAACCAGCCTTGAATTTGTAATCTTTGCCATAAGTGTGCTTGTACACGGCACTCCAGTTGTTGGAATCAAGATTGTACCAGTAACTGGATCATATTAATGCACCAAAAAAATTGTGAAACCAAATAAAAATTAGGTGCCTATAAAAAAAATAATACTAGAACCCAAAAAAGAATTTTTACAGCCTATTTGTTATCCTAAGAAACAAGTATTCAAATCATCAATTCCCACAGCAAATCTGCGCTGCTGTAGCATGTTTCTGAAGGTTGTTTCCTTTTCCCTATTTCACAGATTTTTTGACTTCAAGCAAATATCATTCAGAAAAAGGAATGAGGATGACTGCAGTCAACATTCCATTGCATTGCAACCATAGGTCTCACGGGATTCTTACAAGATGACTGTCCAAAATCTTGAGATCTTTGTTGAGACCTACGCCATCTGATACTATAGCATTTATGCTACTTCTACTTTTTTGCATTATCCTAATGTACCCTTCTCAAACACAAATCAAATGCTAGAAATAACATGAGTGCTTGAATGGTAACTTTGAAAATGCAAGGAACGATCACTTCCATCAACAAACTTGAGCCCAAACTTAAATTCCATACTCAAGTTCAACCAACATGGCATTGTATACATCTTGTGAGTTGCTGATTAAACAACCAAGCCTCAGCTGCACCCCCTTGCATCTAGAAGCACGCATTTCAGCATAGTCAAAGCCCCTTTCAAACTTCAGATATTTGAAGCCTACTATTATTGTTGGCATGCCCACAATACTTGGACCACTTAGGTTGGTGAGAATATTGTAGATTTCTTCTAAAGAAAGGTTCAAATTTATTGATAATTATATGATTATAATCCTAAAGTTTCTACTCAGGTATATATTATTGCAACATATAACCCATTTGCTACAAGCCAATTTACTTGGATACAAGTTAAAATTCTAAACCTATTTCCACGCATGATCATACCAGTGAATCGTATGCCTCAAAAAGAGAGATCTCAGCATAATGAGATGGGGAGAAAAAGTCCTCTAACCTCAACTTATTATTAGGACTGAACCGACGCTTGAATGCAAATGATAAAGCATTTGAAGGCAGAGAGATGCTAGGGATAAATGAAAGTGCTTCATCCTGCAAATAGTTGAACACTATCAAATATAAAATCAACAGTAAAACGGCATGTTGTTTAAATCGAATAGGCTGCCATCCTGGCAATCCCAGGAAGGAAATCACCTTGGCAAAAGTTATTTTCATCATTGCTTACATCTTCTCAAATTTTAGTCATTTGTATAATATTATAAATTATATGGTAGCTATATATATATAGGGTAGCCATCAGTCATAAAGGAAAACCAGCAATAATGGGAAAATGCAAATAAGATTGATTAAAATGGTACTGAACCACCTCTAAGAGGAGGTCTTGACTCTTGCGTTCAAATCCCTCACAGTACAAAGAAAAGAAAATCAAAGAAAAAAGAAAATAAAGAAACAGTAGACTGAGATGATATATCATGTAGAAAAAACCACCTTATAGGAGTATCTTAGTTTCAAATCTTCATCATTGAATTGAGCAGTGCAGAGCCCATTCAGTAACTGGCCTTTGACAATTCCACTAACTGACAATGTTCTCTTCACCTCCTCATCTTCTCTCTCCTCAAGCGAAACTTCACCAAGGGGAAATTTCAAGGTTGCTCTTGGCTGCAAAATTAGGATAGTCATAAAGATAAAAATAGGACAGGAGGAAGAGTTTGGAACTAAAACATTTTATCTTTTTTTCATTCACTATCCTGCAATCAATTTCTCAAGAAACTAGCATGTTGCGCCACTAAGAATTAAAGGGAACTTTTATTCATGTTTGAAACCTGCATAGTACAGCTTGGTCAACAAAAAATGAAACATTAGGTGGCTGTCTAAATCTGATACCACACCAACCTGCAGAGCACCCACAAGACTCCAAAAGCCTCAACTGCAAACCTAATATTGTGCAATACTAGCATGCCAAGGATCAAACTTACCAAACCTATTGTTGGAACAGGAGTGGAAAGCTCAAGTGCGTAGCCTGGATCAGCAAGCTTTGCAACCATTGCCAACTCTCCTTGTTGTGCCTGAAGAAAAATTTAAGGCAATTGTCAAAGATATGGATGAGGATGTACAACTTTAACGTAAGGTTTAAATTACATGCATTGCATGTGAGAAACGCATATCAAACCAACAGAATATCGGTATTTTCTGGAACCAAACATCTCAATCATAGAAGAAATACTTAAGAACAGTAATTCAATGAAAATCTCATTATTTAAGCACTAATAAGTTCCCCTGAAATAAAATGAACTACAAATATAAGTGACCCACAAAAAGAAAACAAAAAAAAAATGAAAATTTCCACAAATTATATATCTCATCCATCCAAACTTATATACACCGGCTGTCACGTGTACGAGTAATAAGTAAAAACTACTGCTTCGAGAATCGTTTCTTATAATTATAGCAAGCTTGTGATAACTACGAACACATTTATATTCATCGAACCTTAACCACAAGGAAAGATAATATAAATCTCAATTAAAATCAACACTAAGGACCTTAAAATTGGGTTAAACAAATAATTCTTGACAATTTAATTCACTAATGATGTAGGTAGTTTTAACTCTGGTTCTTTGGATAATCCAAGTATATCAACTAAGAAAATCTATCCCAAATAGTTATCAAATTGGAATCGAAATAACAATCGGTCATTGTTGGTCCCAATTTAGCAGAAACGATACAAATTGTACAATGAAGATACAAATAATGAAATACTTGAACTTAATCAACTTTCAAGCAAAGCTATACTTCAACCAAAAAAATCCAAAACACAGAATTTTATCAAACATTAGAAAAAAGAGCGAAAAATTGGAAAAGGAAGGACCTTCACATCATGAGCAGCCTTGAAATGCAAAGTGGGACCCACATCAAAGGAGCCCTTGATAAGGGCATTTTGATCTTCAAGATCATAGTGAATTGAAAGTAGCTTTGAAGTGAATGCAATTTGGGGCTCCGAGACCTCTCCTTTGTTGTTGTTTTGGAAAGAGAGCTTGAGTTTTGCTAAACTATCAAACAACTTACATGAAACCTTGTGGAGGAATATTGAGCTGTCACTGTCAAACTCCGAGGTCACCCTAACTGATGGTCTATTGAAAAATATTTTCGGCGGCGGTGGCGGAGGTGGTGGCGGTGGAGCTGGTGCTGGTGGATCGGAAGGTAGGATTGTTGGGGCCATGTGAAAAGGTTGAAGTGGAAGCGGAGGCTGAAATGAGAGTAGCGGTGGTGGTGGTGGTGGTGGTTGTGGTGATTCTGACATTGTTTGTTGGATTAGCCGATGGAAAGATTTTTTTTTCTAATTTTGTTTGTTTGTATAGTATGTGTGTGTGTGAGAGAGAGAGAGGGAGGATTTTGGACGGTGTTGAGTTTAAATTGATAATTTTTTATAAAAGATTTTGAGTTCACCAAATATTCAAATTTGGATAGCTCAACAAAAAATTAAAAGAATTTCAAAACTTAGGGAAGGAATAATATTTTGAACTTTGAAAATAGAAAAAGGAAATTGTCTTTTTTTTTTAATTGTTTAAATGCTATATAATATTAATATTTAAAAATGATATTTTCAGTTGTTGTGGTTCTTACTTGTTAGTTGGACAGTTGACAGTGTCACCCATTGGCTTATAAGTAGGGTCAGCATTGGGTTAATTAATTAAAACGAATTAAATTGAATTAGTTTTGGCGGATTCAAATATGTTTTCATATTATTCAAATTCAAAATTAAATAATATAATAATAGGTTCAAATCAAATTAAATAAGTTCGATTATTCAAATTAAATTAGTTATTTTGAATTTAAAATAAATTTAGTTAGTTATATATAATAACTCTTAAAACTCAAAAATTAAATTCTTTACATATCTAAATTTATCACGGAATTTTAAAATAACCATCCGAAATCGATCGAATAGAATCTATTTGATTTGGTTCTTGTTTAAAAATCGAGAATTTCCCATTCTACTTATAACTTTTTTTTTTTTTAAGAGAACAATTTTGCATCTCTACAAATAAATATATAGATGGGTATATTAAGGATATCGATAGCCAAATTTAGATACTTGATTATGTTAAATTTTTTTCGAATTTTAATAATAAAAGAAAATTTTACTTATAAATAAAATATATTTTATTATATATTAATATATCTGTCATTTTATATATATACATATCTGTCTATTTTAATAATTATACATTATTCTCCATTTGTCTACCTATCTGTCTATAATGCACCAAGAAAAGATATTATTAAATTTAATAATTATAAATTATTCTCTATTTTGATTGACTAATTAAAAAATAATTTTAATTGACTAAAAATAAATAGAAAATTTTTGTATCTATACTATTTATAATGAAAGAATAATGATATTTCCAATAATATAAGATATCTAAAACAACCTTACTCGTGGTTAATTGAAATTTTATATATTTTATTAAAATTATTCTTTAAATAAATACATGTAAATAATTAAGTCTTTTAAATTTTTAAAATTTTAACTTTTTAAATTTATTTTATTAAAATAAATATATGTAAGTTTTAAATTTTTTTTAAATATTTGATTTTATTAATAATGTCATACATTTTATCTTTTAATACCAATATGTAATCTTTTTTAAAATTGACCAACAGACTGCAAACTTTGATCAGTTTTAGGAACATAAAGGAAATCTGAAATAATTCTTATACCTGAAGAAGCTTGCACAAACACCTCCCTTGCCTTAAACATCAAGTCTTCAATTTCCAAGTCTAACCTTTGATGAAAAATTTCTGTCCAAGCCTTTTAAGATCATCAAACTTGTTATCATGTGGTGTTTGCAGCCACTGTCAACTAGCTACACATTTTTGTCTTCTAACAGATACACTGCATTTTTCAATTTCTGTGGCAGGAAATAAATTTTCTTCTTGATGATCTGAGTTTTCAATGGCTTGACCAGGCTGAGCTTCAGGTTGCTTTGCAATCCTTCTTTTATTTTTTCTATCAGCAACTCATATTTTATTTTATTAAATTATAAAAACCAAGAAAAATTTATCAAACCCAAGATGCTAAACCCGAGCCAGTGGGCCTCTCTTATAAACCCAAAACTAAAACTTCTTAGCGTGACCAAATTGGTTACAGTTCTTACAGTGAGCTTCATGTCTGTAACAACAATAATTTTCACTGTAATTTGTTCTTTTACGATAACGGCAAGGTGGATTCTTATCTCTTTTGCCTCTCCTTCTGTCATTTCTTCTATATTTGTTCCTACGGTTATTTGATTGACCTTTTGATCTTTCTTCTTGAACTCTAGTTTTATATAATGCTGCTAGAGTACTTTAACCAGCACTTCCTTCTTTTCTAAAGGCTTTTCTTTGAGTTGAGACACGTCCAAAGTGTCTTCAAGAGAGAATTTTTACTTCAAATTTCTCAAGGAGAGTTACCACTGCTTTCTCCACAATCCTCTTCTCTTCCAATTCTTCTCCTAACAACCTGATTTGATTTACTATCTTCATACTTCTCTCAAAATCATCCTTTGTTTTCTCTGCATCCTTCATCATCAATAGCTTAAATTCTTTCTTTAAATTAAAACCTGCATCGGCCTTGTCTTGTCAGACCCTTGATACTCTGTTTTCAACTTTTCCTAAGCTTCATGAGCAGTTTGACATGCCATGATGCTGGTGAAGATTGAATCTGCAACAGCAGCATGGATGTAGGAGAGAAGCAACATTAGCTCTCATTCTCGGAGCCCAAACATGATAATTCTCACCATTGGATTGAGGAGGTGAAAGGGAAGTGCTGCTGAAAGCCATTGAAAGTGAAGCTAAGACTCAAAGATTGATTGAAACTGGATTGTTTAGTGGATTTCTCTCAAATACTCTCACAGTCCCACAAAATGAAGAATGCTCTGATAATATCATTTGTTGGAAGTTTGAAAAGAAAGGACTGATTTCTTAAAGAAAACTGAGCAATGCGTGAAGGAGAGAAGGTTAACTTCATTCTTATTGAGCTGATATTCAATCATCATTTTAAATAAAAGTTTGTTAACAAACCTCCATAAATCAAGTATGTTTATCTTCCACACTTAAGTATTAAAGAAACCTTCTCCACTCCTTTACAACTAATTCTAAAAATAGAAAGATATGAAGGATTACAAAATAAACTTAACAAAACCTTAAGCAATTTGCATTATCTCATGTATCACTATTTTGTATAGCAACATCAGTAACTTCAACAATTCAGCATAAAGAAAGTTTACAAAAAGCTACCATATAACCGATGCAACGCAAAAATTGGTATCTCTTACATCATAAGCAGACAAACAAGCACTTAGGTTAGTTGAGAAGTCCACAACATTGAAATGCTGGAAACACAAAAAATGAGAATCTATATTAAATACATTCTTATATGAATAGCTATATATCTTGAGATTTGAGTTACAGACATCCTTAGAATCTACTGCACTAGAAACCATGGGGTAGAAAAGATTCCCTTTAACTTCCCCTGCTCTTCTAGCAATCCCTTGATTCAAAACTATTGGAGTGACTTTTCCAAATAAATATATGAGAAAATGGGATTTCCCCACTCAATAATAACATTGAGTCTATAAAAAGAAGATTGTGCATCTAAAAACAGCCTTGACAAAGAATTCAATTTTGATCTCTACATTTCACAAATGCCTTCTCAGCTGATGTGGCATACCTATACCTGAGCAACAATAAGTTCATTCCATGTATCTGGAATGCCAGGTAGACACCAATGCAAGCAATCATTTACACCCGGCGTTGCCTTAACACTGTATCGCGAAATGTGACCCTCATCTCTGAGCTCAGACAAAGAAGTAATATCCAAAAGCTTTATCTTTGTTCCCTTAACAGCATCTGCAACAATTGGATCACTTGATTCTTCCTGCGAGACTACACTCCCATGTGTCAATGGAATGGTATTGTCACAGTTACCCCCAGTGTTCCAGTCTCCATTACGGAAATGTCTTGGTGAGATTGTCCGAAAGAAAGCTTTAAGTCGGGGATGAGATGGAAGTTGTGAATCAAGCCACCTGGCAATACTATGTATTGTAAAATTCTTAGCATTCCCAATATCTAAAAGTTGTCTATCTTCGATAGGCTTTCCATTTGCATACATCACCCAACGGTTTGCTCTAAGCTTCCCTCTGTTCCAGTGATGTCCAGTATTCAGAACTAACACATCAAACTGATGGAGAAATCGTCTCATGAATGCTGGTGCCCGGTCCAAATGCATGGCAACATCAGTGGTAGGGTTTGTGATGTTCAAAGGTTCTAGGTCTGCAAGGCTTGCTGACCAGTAGTATAAAATGGTGGTATTGGTGTTTGAGAATCGAAAAGCCCATCCATCAGGACGGATGGCTCCACGAGGTTTGACAAGACCATATTCAGCTCCAACGTCTTCAACATCTAGCCTCCATTCCCCGCCAGAAGCCATGCACATCATTGATTGAAATTGTTGCCTGCCTAATGAGTCTCCTATAAATGCAATTGTTTTGTCCTGCATTCTGGAAATGTTAAAATAGTTATGAAATTGAACACGCAAAGCTCTGATGTCCAGTTGATGAAAATAGCAAACTCAACAGGGGTATTGTGACTTCCCCCTTTGTCTAGTAAATGCTGTTACTGGTTGTGGTTAGAAGAGGAGATAAAAATAAATGTTTAAAAAAAAAAAAAAAAAAAAAAAAAAAAAAAAAAAAAAAAAAAAAAAAAAAAAAAAAAAAAAAAAAAAAAAAAAAAAAAAAAAAAGAGGAAAAAAAAAAGAGAGAGTACAGGCAAAGCCAACCTTTTCAAGAACTGAGATGCCTCGAACTCTGGCATTTCGCAATTTTCAGGATTCCACCTATATCTCTCATAGGAAAAATCGGTTCTTTGGGTCAGTCTACATGCCCACATTTCTGATAACCATTGTTTACATCCAAACCCAGAATACAAGGGCCTCCTCCTATCTTCCACCCATCTGCCCTTCGCATAATTGCAGGCTGCAAAGATGACATGTAGATTCTTAAAAATATAAACATGCTCAGACAAAACATTGTGATGTGTATATATGAAAATCAAATCGCTTACAGCTTCAGAACAGATTTCCAAATACAGTAAATTACTAAATCTCCTCAATGGTTGGCATATATACACTTTTATCCTCGTTTCAAAATTAGTTTATTGGTTCCCAGAGTTCATTAACAGCTCTACACTTACTAAAAGCTATTTCATTCCCACTTGTTTTCTAACACTTCAAATTCGACAACCCTTAACCCCTACACATTTTAGTAGTGAAGTATGAGGAGTAAAATAAATATTTTTTTTTTAAAAAAAGAACAAGTACTCAGTAATTGAAGGCACAACTAAGCAAGAGCACGCACACGAGAAGAGTGTAGGTGCAATAATGACAGGAAAAGATGGAAAATTAAAAATTAAGAATTTATGTTCATAAAATATTTCAGATATCAAAACTATTTAACCAAATTGACAAAAGTTAACAATCTTAGCATCTCATGAAAATTCTATGTTTTTGCTCAAAACTTGGGGTTTACAAGGATAATTGTGGAGACAGATTACACAATGCTCAGGAAAATGATGGTAGAGGTTGAGGACAAACACAGTTATTGAGTTAAACAAGCATCCTACGTGTTTAATGTTAATCAATGAAAATATATTTTAATGGCACAAAAGGAAGGATTTATTGTGTAAATTTATCACATAATGGAAATTGTTACCATTATATAAAATAAGATACTACCTTTATCTCCATCACTATCTTCTCTCTCAGAAGCCAATGCAGCGGTAAAATTCATTGGTGAAGCAGCAGAGTTTTTCTGTGACCTTTCTATCTCCTCTGAATTAATAGAGTGAGAATATTTTTCTTCAAATTGCTCAATTGAGTTCAGAGATACTGAAGAAGATGAACCTTCTGTGCCATCAAAAAAGAAAATCTAAGCTATCAAAGTCGCAGAAAAGACCAATTGAGTTAAACATCCAATCAATTTTTGTGCGCATAGAAAAAGTATTTGAGAAAGGGAGAGAGTTGAGAAAATCAAATCAACTCTCCCAGATAATAAACTCAAAGCAGCTCAGAGTAGAAGAAATTCTCATACACTTAAAAGAAGAGAGGATCCTAAAACTTGATCTTGAAATAACAAAAAGGAAAAAAACAAATTGGTCAAGTTTGAGAATCTTTAAGTGTTCCCAAATATTTGTATGAATAATAACTATAATTAAATATATAAAGAAATAATAGTTGAAACCAATATTTAGCCCGTACTAAACTAATAGAAGGATAAAAAGCATTATATAACACTAGAAATCAGAATCTACAATCTAAAAAATTAATATGAGTTACAATAAGTCCCCGAAGAAATTCATCATTGAATTACAAGAAATTTCCAATGGGACTCCACAACATCAAAAAGTTTAGGGATTTTCCCTAGCAAGCCTTGGCTTTGAATCCTGTTAGAATTAACACCATTGTATAGCTCATTTATCGCTTCCAATATGCCAAAGAAAATTGTTATGTCCATTACTTTTGTCACTCAAGCATGTACAAATGGACCAGTCTTCCATGCTAATGCAATGTTGCTATAAAATCCTATAGGAGGATAGATAAATTAACAATAAGCGGCATAAACATTGATGGAGTGACTCAAAAATCAACATCCACATAGAGCATAAGATTCTTCTGACAGTTAGACGTGTTGGCAAATGATGTTAGGGTTATCAATGATGGCATGTTGTTTTGTCAATTTTCTTTTGAATGTGGAAAGTTAGGAAATGTTATAAACTGGCACATGAGCTTGCTTAATATAGTCTAACCATTCATGATGAAGAAATCTGGGTCGAAGAAGTCCTTATGAATTAGATCATCCTGAAACTGCAGAGGTATGTTCTGCAGCTTCATTTTCTTAATAATATTTCTGTGATTTCATCCACAGAAAAAAAAAATCATAGATTCTCAAACACACTCCAACTTCCAAAAGAAAAACACACTCTCAAATACAAGGAAAGAGAAGAGATGTATTGTAAAACTTTTAACCAAAAACAAAAGTGTCAAAGTATCTTTTTTTTTTCATTAAAAAAATAATCAAATCAATTTAAATGTATACAATAATCTCAAATAAAAAAAAAATCAAATCAATACAAAATTATTCATAGAAAATACAATATCAGAAAAAGATAAATGAAGAAATCACTAATATAATCCAATACTTAAATCCAAGTTTTGTGAAACTCCACATGGACTTTCTTTCTAAGCCCTGGATGAAATGTAGAGTGCAACTCTAAATATTGTCTTTGAAATTTATATGTTCTGCGGTATTTATTGCCTGTATCTAAATCATAATGCAAAAACAGAATTTTAAGAATCTACTGCACTGTCAATCAAAATTGTCCATATCTGTAGCTCCACATAATTTAAATAAAACCTAAATAATGTATCTCAGCTTATATTCTATGCCAGGCCAGCATAATCAACAAAAGTTGACACAAGCTAATTGAAAAAACTAACTTGCTATCTAGCTTGTCCTTAGTTCAATTATATTCCATATATAGATTTTTACATAACATAAGAGAAATTATATCATATAATAAATGTGTAAATTCAGTGCTTACATATTTTTACTTGAAGATATTGGCATATTAGAGAACAAAAAAACTGAGAAGATTATGGTAAGAGTTAACATGTCTCTGACTAAATACATACTTCACAGGCATTCAAAAAAAAAATCTGAACTCAACTAGAAAACCTTACTGGATTTCACCGTGCATGGTTTCTACGTTTCCAAAAAGTTATAAAAGTAAAATTAAAGTTTGTGAATCAATTGATGTAGCTAGCTGACCATAATGCTAATTAAATTGTAATGAAAATGAGAGATTGTGAAATGGAGAACAAAGAGACAAAAGATTAACCAAAGAGGCTGAATTTTTGGCTTACACACCAGGGAAAAGAACTACCACTAAACTTGATCTTTTTACTCAAGAAATATGCTTCTTGGAAAAAACAAAGATTCCAAAACTGACTATCAAAACTAAACTCTAACATATAAAGATAATTATCTCAATTCTTCGGATTTGAACATTCTAAATTAAGATTAAAATTTTCCCTGCTGCATCATTTACTTTGTCACAAACTATGCCCCCAAGAAAAGTACTGTACAAAGTAGCTAATCAAACATAAAATAAAAGTAGTGGAAAAAGAAACAAGTTCAAAAGTAACAATTGCTTAATTCAACCAGTTGATTGTTCTGTGTCCAGCACCGGGTTCAGTTATACAGCTATTATATCACATTCTCTTAGTATTTTCATATGTTAAGCATTCATACTTCTAGTGCACACAAACACACACCTTTCTTTTTCCCTATCAACACCTTCAATACAAAACAATGCTCCTTCCAATAAGAAACTACTTAATTATGGAGCATTCACGACTAAATTTAAAAAAGAAAAAAAAAAGGAGTAATTAGGCATTACAATAGAAAAGCAAACCTGCAGGAAAGCTGAACTGCTCTTGTGCTGATTGCAGAGTAGTAACAAAAGGATTCTTCTCCCAAACCCAAAGAAATATTGTTGTAAAAGTAAGAGCAAGCAAAGTAACAGAAAGATGTCTCCCTCTCAATCTAAAACTATTTGCTCCTTTCATTTTCTACTCAGATCCCTCAAACTTCAATATCTGAAATGCAAAACAAAAATAAAATTAAATAAATGAAAATTTTCCAATTAAGAGATCGAAACTCAAATTCAACAAAAATTATAGATTCATTAAAAATTAAAGGAAAACGTACAAGCATTTGAAACTAGATTTGCGCATTGCTGTGATTTTGAAAATGGCGGATCGAAGATGGAATGAGGAAGATGATGCTGTTGATAGGTGATCGTAATGTTGAGAATCTAGACGAAAGCGCGTGAGTCGGCGTAAGATGGGCTGTATGTTGAGCTGACGGTTAAAGGAAAAACGGAAAAATGGTTAGCAGCGGATTTGAATGTTAAGAGACTCAATCTGAACCGTAAAAATTGGGATTTGTTAGCATAAAAATCGAAAAATATAGGAAAAGCAATGATTGTGAGACTGCGAGAGTGATAGTTTAGCTAAAACAGCTAAAAGCAAGATTATGATTGTTCGATTTTTGTTTTATATTATTAAAACTTATTAAAGACCGACACTTTTCCTACAGATAGCGTAAAGTGTGTGAGGCTGGTCCGCTACATCATACTTGTAACCGGGCTTTTACTTGTTTAATAACATGCAAGATATATATTTACACATGCATTTCTACCGTTTGGCTTTCCAAATAAAAATATTTGTTTAAATAAATTTGTGAAAAGTATTATAATGAAAGATGGTGAATTTTCTCTAATTAACAAATTAATCAAAATTCTTTTGGGTGGTTAGTTGAAACATCCCGAATTTTTATTTTCGAAACTTTCGAATTTTTATTAAATTAAAAATCTCGATTTTTAATTATATGGGCTATAAATACCAAACAATTTCAATTCGAGCCCAAATTTACGGAGTTGGGCTCAAGCCCAAAGCATATTATTAAATATTTGCCAAGTGGAGAACCTTTAGAAATTTTTAAGAGTAAATAGCCAAGTGGGAGAACCTTATACAAATTTTTAAGAGTAAAATAAGGAGAATCCACTAAATTACTAAATTATTAAAAACGTATATGTATATGTGTGGATTACTAATAATAAAATTAATTATTCTAAAAATCTAATTAGTTATGTCGCTATTAATTATTATTTATTGCTATTAATTATTATTATTATTACTATTTAGTAAATCGAGGAAATGTTCTAGAACCTAACTAAAAGAATCAAAATAAATCAAATCGGATTACAAAACCAAGCAAATCACACCGAATCATTGAATTGGACCATACCGATTCGAATCGAACCAGAATAGTCTAGAAACCCAAAAATTTCTTTTCTTCTTCTTCGTCCTTCTTCTCCAGCGTCGACCTACCCTCCCCTTCTCCTACTCTCGTTTTTCCGACTGCCTGAGACCAGCACCTCCTCGCCGTCGCCTCCTCGCCGCAGCAGTTCCGGCATTCCTTTCTCTCCCTCATTTTGTTTCTGGCGAACGCAGTTATCACAGGAGACTCGATCGGGAAGTAGCGTCGCATCTCACTCGACTGGCGACTCCAGTCTCTCTCTCTCGACGAAGAAGCTTCGATCTCTCTTCTTCACTCTCTCCTTCCCGTTCTGGCTGGCGCAGCGAACCAAGAAGCTGCGATCAGCGAACCAAGAAGCTGCAGTCACAGCTCGTAGTAGTGTAGCATTCCAAAACCTTGGTGAGCCTCTATAATGATCGCTTTTCCTTCATTATTTAACTTAATTCAATAGTTCATTTGAGGAACAGGGTTGGCAGCAATCATGAATGAGAAAAAAATACTTGGTTCCTAGAACACTATGCCACACGACTTAAAAGTTGGGAATCTGATTTTTGACTATTAATTGACACTATAAACCTGCATTTTCAAAGGGGAAATGGTGTTAAGTTAGGGTGTTTATTGTAGATCCTATGAAAGAAAATTAGAATGATTGTGATATGGTAGCAGCCAACCCTAGCTATTTGCTCAAAAATTTTGGCTTTGATATGAGGCATTTGACATGATAAGTTTTAAAGTTTTTGTGGTAAAATGAAGTCAACTAGTGTTTATAAGTATGGATTTTGGGATCGAGAAAAACCTTGATTTTTCTAGGTTTGGCAGCAGACATTTTAAGTTTATTTTCATGGAATTAAATCTGTGAATATGAACAAATGAAGGTTGGTAAATTGAGTTCTTGATTGGATAATGGGTTAACCATCGTATAATGCGTGAGTTTAACCAAAATACTTAAGGCTTTCTTTGAATAGTGACAGCCTTAAGCTAGCGAAAATAACGGATTTTTGCTTGAAGAACATGGTTTAGGTTGATGGAACGAATGTTGCCCTTCATAAATTTGATTGTGAGTGTAAAGGATATCTTAACATAATACAAGTTTAATGAGTACACTATCTGAAAGAAGGAGAGTATTCTGAGGTCTAAGAAAGACCGAGCATGTGAGTGTACACGATATAAATGACAAAGTTTTATGAGTACTAAGAAATTTCTGGTAAAAAGCAGTAGCTATTTTCAATTATTTCTATTGATTATTGTTTGACATGGTACAATTAAGATTGTAAATCTAATTCTTGCGTGAAATTAGTTAGTTGGTGTGATCCATGATAGCAAAGCTAAGGATATTTTTGTGCAAGTAGTAAATAACCAATGGTGATGCTTGAAGCTTGGATTGTTAATAGCTAAAGTATTGTATTGTGATTAAATATTTCTACTAGTACTTTATATGGAGGAAGTGAAATTAATTTGTTTGATTGCCCGATGGATGGGCTGTGTGTGTAATGGTTGATGGATATAATATTGCTGATATTTGAGCAGGTAGATAGTTCAATTTCTGAGTATTGTGAGCCAGTAGCACTTAGTTCATTTTAGAGTGACGGTTGCTAGACCTCGGGTACGTGAGTTTTTGTTGGGTGAGAGATTATCGCGTTATTATCTATATAAGTAGACACTTAAGACTAGTTTTAATTACAAATAATTACTAAGTTATATTTAGATAAATTTTAAATAAAGTTTGCATACATTAATGAAATAATATAGTACTCCTAACTTATTTAGTTGATTATCATTATTATTGTTTCAGTTCCCGCAAAATAACACATTATTATCTTCTTATGTTTTTAAGTTATTTGCATATTATATTTTAAATTATAGTTTATCATATTATTGTTTATTATTATTTAGTGTCATATATTAATTTATGTCTATTTTATTATTTATTTATTTATTCCAAGAATCAATTATTATATTATATTGTTAAATTACTACTCCTTTATTTAATTGTGATTGAATGTAAATGTCCAATTATGCACTTACATCATGATATTTACTTGTTTGTTATGCTTATATTTAATTGCAGTGCTTGATTAATTGTGATGTGATAATGGTATGATTTGTTTGTGTGGAGTTGGGATGAAGTAGGTCACCATGGGTTTTGTGAGGGCGGTCTTCGATACCGTCGGCCATGTATGGGAGATCGGCGCCCTCGTGTGCACCTGATGATATGATATGGATGATATGGAAAACTACAGGGTGGCCTCTTGTTGGTATGGAAAAGAAACCTTATCTGGTAAATGGGATAGTGCGGCGCGCGTTGGATTCGCGCGGCTTGATTTGTTTGTCGACCTACCGCTTAACCTTAAAGAAGCGAGTTACTCTTGGCTCCTCTCGTTTAACTCTATAATGGGCTTTGAGATTTCTATCGTTATTAGCGACACGTCCGCTGGAACAGTTCTAGATTTGATCGCAGCCCGCAGGTGTGGCCTCTGTTGTGAGCGCTTAATGATTTTAGATTGGATTGAGACCACTCGGGTTGCCTGCTCTGATTGGTAAATTGAAAGAAAAAGTGATGAGGAGTAAAACAATGAGAGGGCTGGTCAGTGAGACAGGATTTAAACGAGGAGTATCGGAACCAAGTTATGGGGGATTTCTTTCTCTGTAGCAAAAATCAAACTGTAGTCGATGAGCCGCATGTGGGGAGGAGGCTCATCGAAGTTTCGGT